CGGCCGCCCCGGGGGAAAGAAGCTCCCGACGCGACCTGGGCCCGGCGGGGCCGGCGGCGCTTCTCGCGAGCGGCGCTCCCCCTTTGAGGATTGTGCTAATAATATGTATCTTATATATGTATCTTATTTACATATATAGAAAAAAAATACATATAATCCTGGTGGTCAGCACGTGATAGCTGAAAAAAAAGGAAAACAAAAAGTGGCATCGTTTTTATACATTCTTAAGGGAGGGGGAAAAAAAAAAAAGCACTCATGTGGTCAGCACAGCCTGTGTTTAATTGGGTGATGTGCTATAAATATACTATAGCCCTCGGTGCCTCGTTTTATTCATTGTAGCAGCTGCGTCCCGGCCTAGAAACGCTTGTCTCAGGCTTTAAGTTTTGACTAGGGGCAGCCCTGCTGCTCCAGGACCCCGCTGGAGCCGGGGAGAGTTTGGTCCGAGGTAGCCGGGGGTGGCATGTGCCCGGCAGGGTCGCTCCGCACCGTCCGAGCCACCGATGGGGGATTTGAACCCAAAGGCCAGGGCTGGCAGCAAAGTTTTGGGGGAATACGCGCAAGGATAGCAGCAATTAAGTAAAAGGCAGCTTGTCTGTGCGGTGGTGCTGCTGCCTTCAGAGTTGTGCGTTAAGGAGCGTGACCCTGTGTTTCTCCTTCGTGTTCCTGGTGACCACGGCCGGGCGCAGGCGGCCCCGTGGGACCGCGCTCTGCGCGAGGCTCTCGCGTCCTCCCGGACGCGCACGGGGACGGTCCCCGCGTGGTGCCCACGCTCCCCGCCGGCCCCTTTGCCTCTTCCCAGCAAATCGTGCGGCAACACGGGACGACAGAACGAAATCTCTGCATCTCCCCTGCCTCCGATCTTCGCTTTGGGTGAATTTTTACTCGCAAGGAAAGAATATTAATTATTGATCAGACAAACAGTGTCTGTGGAATCACTTGGCAGGTACACGGTAGCCGTTGCTTGTATTTGACACACTCCAGAAAAGTGAGACTCGAAGTGAAGAAGGGTTCACTTCTAGTCTTGTTTGGACAAAGGCATTGCAGACACCTGAATGTTCCTGATGATCACTGCGTATAGTTCTTATTAATTATTCTATTAATGTTTTATTATTTTTATTAATAATGTGAAGAGGCCAGTGCTTAGCCTTTGCTACCAGCAATGCTGCTCCTTAGCTATTTCCTCTCCCATATTTTTACAGTGGTAACTGCTCAGGCTTCTAATTTTAGCAATACTTTTGGTGATTTTTGTTCTCTTGGAATTAAGACTAAAGAAAAGCTGCACATCCTGTTACATAAAACAGAGGATGAGGGAGAGGCACGGCACAAAAGCCGAGGAGAGGAAGTGCTGTATTCGCGTTGAGTGAGCGGCACACGCGAATAAGCAAAACAAACCGGGCACGCTTGGCGGGCAGAGCTTGGCTTTGCAGGGGGAATGTTGGGTTTTCCCGGCTGCGAAACGGAGCAGAATAGAGGAGGGGATGGACAGAGTCAGCACGAGACTGTCAGGGAAACATCCACGTCCAGTGACGTGAACCAGCGGTTTCCCAGGTCGTGGCGTGAAGCGCACGCCGGTGCTCTGCTCCCCTGTCTGACTTTCCCATTTGATCGCTAACTCAGTTTTAAAAGGCAGGTTGAACTTGCACGATAATTTGAATATTAAAAAAAAAATCAAGATCTTATTCAATGAAAAGAACAACTGATGGTCTGGTAACTAGTTGTTATTCATATTATGAAAATGTGAAATCTGACTAAACACGCAAGCCTTACGTGGAAGTTATCAAGGGTGGATTTAATGTACACGAGCAAAGTGATGTTTTCACTGATGATAGTTGATAACCAAGGTTTCTTTCTGCAAGTGCATCAGCTGCTGTGATTTTGTTGGGTACATAGGTGCTCATGTGTAGCTATTAACTTAAATACCTGCACATATATTGACATACAGAAAACTTGTCCTACTTCAGCAAGAGCCGCGTAATTACAGTGCTTCAGCCTCCCGTGGCGGGTTGTTAGGTTAATAAGAAGGTATTGATATCCTGTGACTTATTCCTGTAAATGCAGGGGAATAAACTCCTGAATTACCTCAGTAAAAACCTGCCCACACTAGAGGCTGTGCCAGTGTAAACCATCCTAATTAAAAAAAAGTTGTTTCCCTTACAAAACAGCTGTGCACGGCACAGACGGGCCCTAGAAGTTTATTATTAACACTGTTTGATCCACGTACGCTGATGGAGGGGGGGAAATACAAAAGGTGTTTGCTTTATCAATCCTTGCTGCCCTTTCGCACACAGCTGGAGTATCCCGGTGCGCCGGTGAAGTGTCAGAGGGAGCGATCAAAGTCCTGTGGAAAGGAACCTGTCCCGTTTCCTCCCCGGGCGCGCGGCTGATGCGTGGAGGAAGCTCTCGGCGCGGGGGAGGC